AGAAATGGTTATATTTACTGGCGATTCGTAGAAAATGTTCGGCCTGTTTGTTCCCTTTCATATAACCATCGTACTCTCGGCACCACTCGTCGTCGTTCACCACTTTCCCTCCTCTCCCATTGAGCTATCCCATAGCAACAATTCTGGTCGCAGATCGCGAAGCAATTTCATTCTCACCGATCGATCGAACTGCAATACATACATACGTATATACATACGTATGTTGCAACAACGGATGTGAGACTTGTGCGAGAGCGAGAGTGAGCATGAAATAGAGAGAAAGAGAGTGAGAGACGAGTGAGAGGTGTTAGGTGGGACGGAAAGTGGGGAAGAAGAGGGAACTCGGTGCACTGATCTCGTCGATCGCGAACACCGAAAAGGTCATAAGCTTCTAGTACGAGAGAGATACATACATACATAGATAGATAGATAGATAGATAGATAGTTAGATAGATAGAGAGAGAGAGAGAGAGAGAGAGAGAGAGAGAGAGAATACTATCCATAGTTAAACTCAAACTACATTGTACAACAGCATCGCCGATTGCTGATATTCTCCAGTGCTTCCTCCGTATCCGTATAGTCGTCTAATCGTACGTACCTATCGGGAACAGATTAAAGGGGAAATGATCGTAGCTACGGGGATCGAGAAGTTCAAGTGCTACAGACAGAGTGAGAAAGGACCAGAGAGAAGGGATGGGATAGAGAAAGAGAGAGAGAGAGAGAGAAAGAGAGAAAGAGAACACGACTATTCCCTAGCTCCCATAAATTATGTCAACCTCGTCGAGTATGCAAACGCAATCACAAGTACTTTGCGTCTGCTCGACCTTCCAACGTTGATACATGCCAAACGAGAGACGTCGAGAAAAGAAATGACGGGAGACAGCCAAGAGTAATTTGTTGCGAAAGGTGCAACACATTTTTTCTTCTCCTCTCCTTTTTATACCCCCCTACTACCCCTGCAACCTTATTCTAACTGTACTCATCACATCTACCAACCTAATAAGTCAATTTTTTCCCAACGTCTCCGAGTAGTTCCATCACTCGGTTCTTTTGCGAGATAAATGTTCTTTAAACTTTTCTTTTCTTCATATTCTTCATCTTCTTCTTATTCTTATTCTTCTTCAATCTTCCTTTTCATTATCCTTTACTTCTTTCTATTCTTCTTACTCATCTTCCGCTTTGGTTATAGTAAAATTATTCTCTCCTTCCTATTTCCTTTTTTTTTTCTTTTTCTTTTACTTCCACTTAAGACCTCGAAATAAAGAGTTGAGATTAACGGGGTTTTCTCTTTCCCTCAAAAATGCCCGATCTTCTTCTTCTTGTTCGTATACTATTTTTCTTTCATTTTTATTTTCTTTTTCTCTCTTTTTTTTTTTTCATCAGTCATTTTGATCTATTTTCTATTTTCTTTATTCTAGGCTTACACTTTTCTTTATGAAAGCTCAAATTTTTATAAATCTTTCGAGAAAATAAATATTTTATTCGAGTTATTCCGTTCGTTAGATATCAAGTTGGTCATTCAGTTTGGTGGAAAATAATGCACACGTGACGCTCAGAAAACGCATTCTTGCGATGACGTCGCATTACTACCCATGGAAATAATCCTGCTCACTGGACTGTGTTCCTATCTTTTATTATTTTTTTCTTTTTTTAAAGAAATACCCAAAATTGGATCGAACGAACGAACGAACGAACGAACGTAATACCATTTGATTATTACTTGACCCAACTAACAAAACCAACACGCACGTGTTCTTTTATCTTTTAGCCAACTCTTCATAGATTTTTACTATAAATTTTTTATTCCAAAAATTTTATTAACAATTAATAATAATTTTATTCCTAGTAAATGTATTCTCATAATTACGATAGTAAATTATTTTTCTCTTTTTTTTTGTTTTCCAATCATTTAAAGAACACAAAAGAATTCTCTTAGAACGCGCGCGTTCAGACTTTTATTTACACCATGACAAATCGATCTTGTCTTAAGATCATTGATCAGTCCCGATACTAATTGGTTTCTGTCTTCGATCGGTGATAAGTTAATGGAAGAGCTTCCCTTCGACCTACTGCAATCGATCACTGGAATCCTACGACTTTAATACAAGTAAGTATTATATATATATATTCCTTGCTTGATATTTCAAAAAAACTATTCAGGATTTTTTGTCAAAAAAAAAATATATAATAAAAAAAATATATATTATCAAGGATTTAAAATCAATTAATATCTAATCATGAGATCAAAATATTTGTTATTAAATAAATGATCAAATGAAATGAAATTAGTTATAGTTCATCAATTTCGAATGATAGAAAAAAGTTGAACAGTTTCTAAAAGACAATTTCTATGTTTCTAAAGAATAACATAAAAAAAGTGAAAAAGAGTTGATCATAAAAATAAAGAAAATGGTTAAAATGGAATCCCAATGGTCAATTAGAGAAGGATATAGCTTGGCAAGAATGAAACTTTCCTGCACTTGTGTCTCGATCGCATCGTATAAGACGTTTTAACGCTAGACCATGCAACTCTAGACGACCAATTACTCGAAACGAGAAACAACTCTGCCAAAACGACGAAGACTTCGTGAGATCGTTGCATCCTATCCCATCCTATACGGTTTTTTTTTCTTCTTATCCACATCGTGAAAAATCTTTCATAAAACTTGGTCACAATCTCAAAGTCTTCCAAGAATTTATTTTCAACTAACAAAAGTGTCTTTTATTAGCAACTTATGGATATTGACTTCGAATAATAGTATTTATTTCATTTTGTGCTAAGTTATAAACAGAATCGAGTATCTATATATATTTTTCTATCTACTAAGCGAGGAAAAAGGGGTTGTGTTAGGGGGAAGTGAGGTAGGGGGGGGGGGAAGGAAAAATCGAAGATCATTAATTCAGTACGCGGCCATTTATTTCGAACGAACGAATATCGAATAAGAAGGACGACGATTCGGACTGGGAAGTTTATGCGTGATGTCGTTGGAATAACAAATATTGGTAGGACCGAATATACGATAAGGAAATAAAAGCGACGAAGAATATACTTCTCACACGAGAAAGAACTGAAATCGAAGTCTCTTTTTCAGTTTTTTATAACAAACACAAAAATAAAACTTCTCGTTTCTTTCCTATATCTCTATATCTCTCTTTCTATCTCTTACAGAATTTATCTTTTATATATATATATATATTTTAGTACTAACAATAAAAAAACATAGATGTATGAAAAAGAATAAATCCTAAGAAATTTAGATTTATTTTTAAACAATATTTATAACCAAAAAAAATATATAAAATAATTGTATTTTTTAATAAAATATAGTATTGACCAATTAATATCAGTGAATATTTTGATGGAAGATGATCGATAATTTAATCTACTTATTACAACTAGGAAACAAAATCGAATACTTACGTGATTGTACATGCCTAATATCATTCTAGTGGAAAGAATGCGATTGGAAACATATATAGGGTGAAAACATTGTGTAAAGGCTCAACCGTGGTCGATCACTCACCCAGCTTTCGCTCCGATTTCCGACATTGACGAATGCACGCTGCTTACAAAGCTGACACACATATGCATACATATATATATATATATATGTGTGTGTGTGTGTAGCATATATAATATAGACTATGTATTTGATACTATGTATATATTATACTGGAAAGAGAGATCAGCGTACATATTCAATGCGTGCAAAGGTTAATACGAGAGAGAAACGCACGATTAATCATTACGTACTTTGACAAAGCGAATTTACGCTAAATTTTAACGCCTTCTAAGTTCTATAATAGTTAAAAGCTTTACACAGCTTTTACACAGACAAAGAGAAAGAGATAGAGAGAAAATAAAATGAATTTTGTGAA